TTTTCAATGTCTCATTAAAATCTTATTAAAATAAAAACCTTGTGGAATAAAAATATTAATAAAGCAAAAATAGTATGCATATCTTTAAAACACATAGCATGTTACCTCATTAAAAGTCTTAACAAGAAAATTCGATGAAACATAATCTCAATTAAGAGTACACATATCTTTAATACACATAGCATGTTACCTCATTAAAAGTCTTAACAAGAAAATTCAATGAAACATAATCTCGATTATGAGTACACATATTTTTAATACACATCATCACGTAAATTGTTTTTTGAGTCTTTATAATTTAAACTTGAGGGGGGAGTAAATAGATATTTTATATTCAAATAATAGATATTTAAAGATAAATATTTTATATAATCTTCTATGAATTAACAACAAATAATTTTTTTTAATTCGAATCTGCATAATGAATTGCATCCCTACATGTAAACATATCCTTTTAAAATTTGTGTATATAGCAAATATTCTCATATAATGAAATTAAAGTGAGTTATTGGGCCGAATTATTGGGTTCATAAAATTTTCCCGATTAAGTGAGCCAACCATCGAAATAAGGTTTTACGGGCACGTTAGATTCAAAGAATTGGGCGGCCCATACAAAAAAAACACACTAAAGTGAAAATATCTAAACACCACGTGTCTTTAACCATCTCCATCTCCTCCAGTGTTCCAGAAACCAGACCAAATTGATTCAGCATGAGCTTGTTGTTTAAAAATCTCATGGCCGTTAAAAGATGGTTATTTCTTTTATAATTTTTCTGAATTGGAGTTGTGTTTTTCTAGTTTATTTATGGGAACATTACTGACTCATTTCTTTATTGTGACTATGATCTTCGAAACAACAATGTTTAGCAGATTCTAAGAAGTTCTCGTTTCTTCTTATCATTACATGTTGTTCTGTTTTGACCTATATTGTCTGGCATTCGGATTATATATCCTAAACTTGAAACAACCAGTGACGGATCCATAAATATTTTTAAAGTAGATGTACATGTATTAATAACATAAAATTTTCTAATAGAATAAAAACAAATAAAATTTTCTAATAGAATAAAAACAAATAAAATTTTAAAGTGGATACAATCGATCAAATAAACAATTAACGAAAGAAAATTCAAATTTTAAGATCAACCCGTATACACTCTAGATTAAAGGTAGATCCACCGCCGCTTACAACTCTGCCGGGAAATTTGGTCAGAGTTACTATGTCCAACTTTCATGCTTTCGTACTGCCATTGTCCTGATACGATCATAACGAGCAACTATCCGGACTTTATGGAGGACGTTTCAATAATACCAAAAAGGTACCAAAATATTATTATCCTTCATTATTTTTACTTGTTTAAATTTTAAATACATGACAATTTTTACATTGGTACTCTAAAAATTTAAAAGAAGAAATCAGGATGACATATAATGGGGGAATTAAACTAGAGTCAATAAGGTGGGGTGTTAGTTTACTAACCATTGGATCAAATCCATCATCTGGTTAAATATTGACGACATATTTTATCAAAAGTTATCTTATCGGTGAAAATTAAAGAAAATAATAATAACGTTAAGAGACTTTGAACCTGAATTTAAAAGTATGAAAGTGTATTACCATGAATCAAGTCTAATATATGGTCAAGTTTGACAACATATTATATATATGTTAAACTTCAGTTAATAAACTGTATATTATATATTAGCAAAAAATAAACTATATATTATGGGTTAAAATTTTGTATAATAGTGCATTACCGCTATGCCATGCTCATCACTTGATTAATATATGTTAATTTTGATATAAATGATTCAAGAATTCGAAATTTAGAGGGGGTTTTAAACACGTGACTCAGAGTTCCAAAATTCATAGACAAGATTCTGATTCTAGTAGCATTAAGAGTATTAAAACCCACTTCAATAGTTAATTTTTTTTTATTAATATGTGTTAAGTATAAGATTGTATATGTTCATAGATAACTCCTAACCTTTTGATATTCATAGCATATGTTCATAATAATAATTTCATTACCACGGAGACTACTTAGTTCGTGCAATAGTTAAAAACATTAAATAGGGTTTTTGACACTATTAGTTGGTTTTTTACACTCACCTAAATAATTTGATTGAGACTTCTATTTTTCATGAATTGTTTTCTAGTCCCTAAGTTTGATATGTATGACAATTTAATACCTTAACTTCGTTGAAATGTATGATTCAGTACTTGAATGCTCTATTTAATTTGTGATTGAATAAGTCTTTATCATGATCATCCTGTGTGACACATTTGACCTAGTTTACAAGTAAGTCGAGTTTGGAGTTTTAGAATCTTCTTTGTCTAATGTGATTTCTTTTATTGTTATAGCTAATCTTTCATTTTACAACTATCATTTTCCTTAAAATTTATATTCATAATTTGTAATGTGTCCCGCATATATGTATAGCCCCTTGTTTGTTCTCATTAATAGAAGTTTCTTTGGTTAAAAATTACCTTATTTTATGTGATGAAGAAGTGTGGAAGTATCACTATTTGACGAGTTTCATCAATGATGGCCATGAGGCAGGACATGCCAATTTTTTTTTTGCCATCCCAATTCGAGAAAAGAGCCAATCTGTTATGGGTGGTTGTGATGTTCCGCAAGCCTCCAACAACATCCAACGTCCTACATCCACATTGACGGACGTTGATCCTTCTAAGAGTGCTTAATAACCCCTCTATATGCAAACACATGCGAATTCTCGACCTTCAAGGTCTTTCTAAAGGATATATACTCTATACGATCGAGCGTGAATAATTCATATGCATGGCGTTGAACAATTTTGAATGTGAATTGGATTTTCATTGTCGTGCGAAAAGTTTTACAAATTGGGAATATATAAGTGAATAGTTCATATACATGGACGGATTTTGTAACCCAAATAGGGAATATATAAGTCCGAGTCCTTGTATAATCTATTGGTAACCCAAGGGTGAGGTAAATTGTGTAAATAAAGAACATAAAAAGAGTGATATAGTATATCGAATGGAGTTATTGTATAATGCTCTTCAAACTAAAGGGGGCAAGTGTCATACTCTCTGCGTTCTACTTGATCACCTTTTAACAACCTAATAACTAAAAGTTGAGCTAGTTCCATTTATCTGCGTTACAGGTCCAACTTCCTAAACATTATACCTCCGTCTTATTCTACGAATATGTGATCATATGACAATCGTACATTCAAAATTAGGCATGTTCAATCAGTTAATTCAATTAAGTGATGGAATCGAATTACATAAACTTTATTAATCGAAGTTTTTTTTCATTTAATCATCAACCGACTTGAATTAAAAAAAATAAACGAACCGTACTAAGTTCAATTAATTACTTAATTGGTAGATTAACCGAATTAACTGAAATTTATAAATAATATATATTTAATATTTTCTATTTATTCGGTTATAACCAAACTTAAAAACACCTAAATCTAAATAATACATAATATATTAAATATTTAATAATTTTAGTTAGTTCGATTAATTAACCGATTTCAAATCAAATTAATCGATAACCAAAGTTTAAAAAAAATTATTAGTCGTTAACCGACCGAACTCAACATTGATCGACCGATTAACCGACCATAATTTTAGTTCGATTGATTAATTCAGTTTTAACCCAATTATGCACACTCTTATTCAAAATATATAATATAGTTTCCCTGGGGGGACACACTCAAAATTCACTCCTCTCTTAACTCGGACTTTGATCATTCAATCACTTTTCGTTTAAATTAGAAAAAGTAAATAAAAAACCGTGGATTTATCACTTGAATTTCAATTTAATTTACTATCGTAAATCACCACCTTACCTCATATACATGAACGTTGAATTATGAGAATGCATATAAAATAATTTATTTTAACCGAAACAATAAATTTGACTTCATTATTTTTATATTTGACCCAATCTTTGGTTTTATTTTACAATCAACCGCCAAACTCATAATAAATGAGAGATACAAAGTTTGAAAAGATTTATTTAATTTTTAAGCTATGCTTGGTTGCCAAGGAAACAGTTATTTTTAAGTCAATGGATTAATTTAATTAATATCTAACCTTTTTTATATATTTCCTAAATTATTTGCCAATCTTTGAGGTACTTAATTATATTCACTTGAACAAGTTATTTCATGACTATTCTTTAGGAGCCAACGATGTACCAAGTAATATCTAATATCGACTTAAAATTAATATTTATTACCCATATAATTAATGTTATTAAGAAAACGTTAACAAGTCTGGATTAATTTGACGTTTTTAAGAATAAAAACAAAAGCGGTGAATTGCTTATTTTTGGATTCGATAAAAATAATACATTAGATGTGAAAATTTTCCAAAGTAACGCATAAATAAAGGCTTCGAGCGATACAAGGTTCACCAAATCTGCTGGGAGTTCAATGAGGATCTCAAGTTAACCTCAAAAAGGATCTCAAAACAAAAACTTCCTAAACCCCAAACAGATAAATAAAACTTAAAGCCATACATTACATAATTGGAGAATTAAGCTGACACGCATACCATAAAACATGAAATTAGATTATATTTATAATATACAAATATAAATACTGCATACAGTGAAGCACTAATTGAGAAACACGCATCTTAAGAGTTAAAACTGTTATACTCGAGCAGCCAATCAAACATCATTTGTTGGGGCAAGTATCCAATGCATTCGAAGCGAGTAGTACACACTGGCTACTAGAGCGTGTGAGGCTTTTGTTCCTTGGGGACCAAGCAGCATCGGAAGACCGAACTCGTTTTAGAGGGGAGTTTATGACACGTGTCACTCATAAAGATATGCAGAGAGTCCCGGTTTTGTAACCATCGCTCATTCCTTTAAACCATTAGTTATCTTAATGATTATATAATTTTGAACACATTTTAACAATCGATTTTTTTAAAAAAAATTAAAGAAAGAGAGAGAAATAATAAACTAATTAAGGGAGTTTTTACTCTTGATACTCCTATAAAACAGTGATTCTTGGTAGTTTGACTCTTCCTTGCAACTGAACTCCCCTGTTCATCTTCTAGTATCTCGCCCTTTAATTTCGTTCTACAAAAAAGTTTCAGTTTTTCTTTTACAGATTCAAAATCCCATCTTTCATGTTAAATACTTGAATTGAATCCAGAGTGTTTGTGAACGATACTAACAAGCTACTGAAGCCATCGAGGAAGCGGTTTGCCATGGAGTCCAAACCCAAAGCCCCTAAAGTTGTTCGGATTTACGTCACCGACGGCGACGCCACGGATTCTTCCAGCAACGAAAGCGAAAATGGTAGACGAAAGAAAGTGAAAAGGCATGTGAGTGAAATCAGGTTCCAATACTGTTCATCATTCAGTTCCACCAAGCAATCGAAGGAGCAAAAAAATATCAGATCAAAGAAGCAGCAGCCACAACGACAACAACGGCAATGTTTATCTAGCGGTGTGAAGTACCGCGGTGTCCGACAAAGGCCTTGGGGAAGATGGGCGGCTGAGATCAGAGACCCAACGAGTCGGAGCAGGGTCTGGCTCGGGACTTTTGACACTGCTGAACAAGCTGCCTTGGCCTATGACAGGGCAGCGATTCGATTCAAAGGTCCTGGGGCTCTTACAAACTTTGATCTTGAAATGATTTCCGAGTATGATTCCGGCCAAGAATCACAGTCTCTCTGTTCACCTATTTCTGTTCTCAGATTCCAATCCAATGAAGAAGCTGAACTTCAAACAGAATCCGAGTCGAGAGATGAGTCTTTAGAGAGAACAGAAACTGGATGGAGCCAACTGTCAGATGACTATTTTTCAACAGATCCAGGGGTTTTATATGATCGCTTTGATTCTGATATCCCTGCACCAATATTTTTCGATGAAATGAGGTTACCAGAAGACAATAAATTGGGACAGGAGGATTATGCCGATATTTCTGTTAAATTAGATGTCGATTTCGGCTCTTGTTCTTGGGATGTCGATAATTACTATTAAGATCAGACTAGTTTTTCCCGGAAACAGTTCCCGGGACTGAAGTGGCTGCTAAATACTTTTACCGTCCGTAATTTTATGTGATTTTGATGGTAAATTCCGAGTGGAATTTTGGATACATTTTCCAGTTTTTCTCGTCTCTTCTAGTGTGTTTCTCTGCTGCTGCTGCTGCTGCTGCTGCTACTACAGTATGTAAAGAAATGCCAAGTAAAATGTAAATTCTCTTGATTTATTTTGGTTATTGAAATCCTTTGCTTTAAGATGTTTTTTCTTGTCTGGGTATTTGATGGGGGTGGGGTGAGATATTTTATTTATTTTTGGTTTTTACTTGTTAAATCTTCATTGGCGGGGGACTCGAAAGGCTGACAAGTTAAGCTAAAGTTGGGTTCCCATGTTCAACGGTTCGCCACCATGGACACTTGTTAGCCATAAACTCATTTGAGCCTTTCTTTTTAAGCATGGCATTCCATTTCCATGCCACTTGTTCCTTACGTCAAACATCTTAAAGCAAGCCACTACACTAAATTTTACCGCTTTATGTCCATAGAAATCATGCAACTAAATTTCTTTACTCTAATTTCACCTTCTGTTATTATTCCATATTAAGCTGCGGCGATTTTTAATTACTATTTTAATATAAAAAAAGGGAAAGTGTATTATTTAGATAGAATTGCCTTAAGAGGCATTTCATTGCTTTGGTGAACTATTTTTTCACTTGGCTTCAAACTGTATGCAAGTGTTTTGACAAGCACATTTCTGGGGTTGAGACAAGGCTGCGAGATGCCCCCATCGGACTCTCGTTTAAAGGACCCTATTCCATCCACTTGACAAAGGTTAATTTTGAAATCCTTTGAAAAATAAATAAATGCTACGTCGACCCCACATAGATTTCCCTTTCTTTGCCTCCCCCCTCCCCGAGGAAATAAAAGTCTATGCAATAATAATAATAATAAAAAGAGTAAAGTATAGTAATGGTCATTGAACATTTCTAAAGCTTGCATTTAGGTCCCTCAACTTTTAAAACTTGCAATATAGTCCCCCAACATTTATTCCGTTTGCAATAGGGTCCCCAACTTAAATCACTGTTAGAAAATTAGGGTAAATTATATAAACGATCATTGAATTTTCAGGTACTTGAATTTAGGTCCCCAACTTTTAAAACTTACAAAACAGTCCCCCAATAATTTTATTTTCTTATTAAATATAGATGTATAGAAAATATAAATGATTCAATTTATATTTAAATGTATGAATCATTTATATTTTTGATATATTTTATTTTTCTTGTATAAACTAGTATTTAAAATGTTTATATTTTAATCAAATATTTCAATATACGAATAAAAACATATTTATATAAATGTATATTTATATTTAGATGTATAAATAAAAAAATATATTCATATATTAATGTATGAATCATTTATATTTTTTGAATATTTTATTTTTAATAAGAAATTAAAATTATTAATTATATTAGAAATACTCAACTTAAGATTATAGATATAATCATGAATTATAAATATGAAAAATATAATTATTAATTTAGTTTAAAAATATATAAATCTTAAATTTATTCTTTTAAAATATTGTATCAACTAATATTTAAAAAAATATATTAAATGTATCAAACAATTTATCAAATATAATATTTTTTATTGTAAAAAAATATAATATTTTCCCATCATTTATTGCTTTCAAATTTTTTGCCGAAGTTCAAATCTCATTATTTCCATTTTCCATTATATTCTTTTTTTCTGGCATTGGTCATACTATTAGTATATGTATTATTGTATATCTCTTAATACAAACGATGGTGTTAGCTTAGTGGCTCCACCCTGTATATTTCATTTGCGTGACTCAGGTTTGAGTTTGCCCAAGACCCAAATTTTACTTCTTTGTAACTTAATTTTCTTCTAATTAGGTGGTGACATGTGTCACCAATAACATATATCATGATCATGTGTTAACACATATATCACCAATAACTTAATTTATTAAATTTTATTTAATTTAGGACCAAATTGATAGCATATATAAATAATTAGGTGGTGACATGTGTCACCAATGACACGTGTCATGATCATGTGCTAACACATGTCAGATCCTAATTAAATGATTAATTTATTAAATTCTATTTAATTTAGGACCAAATTGATTATATAAATAATAAAGACTGAATGTATAATAATGTCATTTCCTTTTAACTGCCACTTCATCATTTGTATCAATTGGTAACGACTAGTGGCTTAATTGAAACAGTTAAATAATTATGTTGTATGATTGATAAATTTAAAAGATCGATGACAAAAGTAAAAAGGGCTAGATAGTTAAGTTGTCAACCTAGTAGTTTACACTTTTATTTATACGTCAAAATAACATTTTATAAATTTAAAATTCGAATTATTTTCAACCACTTCTATATCCTAACTACTGTTTTTAATTAAAAAAAAATTTCAACAGATAAGAATTATACTATTATATTTATATAAAAAATATGTATCACATGAAATAAGATGAAATTAAATAATAATAAATCTGACATAATTGAATTTAATTGAATTATTTTGGAATTTAGGGTTTAGAATGAAATTGAATTACTTTGGAAATTGGGGTTTAAAATGAAATTGAGGATTGTTTTGCAAGTTTTAAAAGTTGGGGACCTAAATTCAAGTGTCTAAAAAGTTCAATAACCTTTTATATAATTTACCCTAATTTATAACGTTGGTTTAAGTTGGGGACCATATTGCAAACGGAATAAATGTTGGGAGACTGTATTGCAAGTTTTAAAAGTTGGGAGACCTAAATGCAAGCTTCAGAAATATTCAGTGACCATTACTATACTTTACCCTAATAAAAATACTAAAAACCATGTTTCGGAAAGGGTTATCCTAAAGAGTCGTAGGGTTACCTACAACAATAGGTTCGATTACATGGCAGCTCACTTTTCAGGTGAGATATCTCGGCGTGCTTGAAACTCCGGCACCGAGAAGTATCTCTCTCTCTCCCTTTTTTTCAGTCAAAAGTTGGTTTGTGGGTTGCAGCTTTTAGGGTGTTATAATATAAATAATGTAGAAAGATAGCAGGAAAGTGAGTTCAAAACCAGGGCTAATTTCTGATGATCTGAAGCAGATCCACTTTCAAGCTGCGACTCTGGGAGGTTCTGGTAGCCCAATAGCTGACTCTCTCTGTGAATACTGATGTTCGTTTCTTCTTTTTACATCTGATTTATATGTATGTATGGAAACAACGACGGCAGAATGCAAAGGTTGGTTTGACTTTGAGGTGGTGGTCCCGTAAATGCTCGATACGGGTCATCAAAAATATATAGTAAGATCTCATATTGGTCAAGGATTGGAGATCAAGGAAATAAACTACGGGTAAAAAAAAATGTAAGCCTTTAACAAAGACGTTTCATTTGTCGGCTTCAGTTGTCCTACCTCTGATGATAATGTCTCCCCATGTGGCACAAACCCCGGTCGCTATCATTCAATTCGGTAATAACTAAACTAAAAACAAACCGTAAGAGAAGAAAGTAGGTCTTTTTAACAGTTTTAAGATAATATCTTTTTATAATTTTTTTTAATTATTAATAATATACACATAACAGACGCAATCATTTGAACTTGAAATTTTACAGAAATAATATTCTTTTTCACCGTTGAGGTCGTTCAATACATAGATTTGTACGGTGAAGGTTAATGGTCGCATGCATGCATGCCAAGGCAAAGTTGTAATTCTTGGGCGTTTTATTGATGAAAATTCAAACAAAGACAGAAGAAACGTGCATTGAAGATTCTTGATTGACAATGAGAATGGTCATCCTTTGAAACGTATATACCTAAAGAAAACTATCATTTGGAAAAGATTGAATGATTGGGAACATACAATCTTAAAATAATAAATTGAAAAGCCGAGGGAAAAACCAATCAAAACTTACCAATTCCTTATGTAGTTGTTAAGTTGGTATGGGAAGGATGTCTGTTTTTGACTCTCGTGATCACATGAATGGCACGCGGTATCCACCCTTTCGGTCTCCAGCTTACTGGGCTTTGAGTCCTCCTTAATTTCTTAGGCGGAGTCGACAACTTTGTTTTTTTTTTTAATTACAAGTCTTACCAAGAAAAATAAGTTGGCCCACAAAATCTCTGTTGTGTCATGGGAAAACAGCAGTGAGCCGAGCAACAAGGAGATCCACCCCGATACAGTTTGAAGTGGAGCCGACGTAAAATCTCAGCCACTTATCATGATGTTGATTGCTTTTTTGTGTGAAATCCAACAAGTAGGGCCTGTTTCAACCATCATTACCAGCTCCATTAGCATAATATTAAAACTCGTGTAGATTAGGGTATATAATGTAGGTGGTAATCTTGCGACTTCTAACTTTATTTTCTCATTTGATTAGTGTTAAAAAGTTAATTAATTTTTTAGTGTAATTATTAGTATCTGATTAATTAATTGATTAATTAATATGAGCATTACAGATATTTAATATAGAGATTTTTATTTTTATTCAATTTGATCAATTCACAAACATCAATATTTGAATTCATAAGATTACTTAAAAAATTTAGTATCTCATCATATTAGATCAATTAGTATTTGGTAGCTTTTAATATTATATTTTATATCTCGTAGATCCCTTTAAAATTTAGTTTAATATTATTTAATTCATTTGATTTTGATTTTAAAAAGTTAATACATAATTTATAATTTATATGAGAATATTAAGGTTTGAATTTATTAATTATCTTAAAACTAAAATTAAATTGATAATGAACATAAAATTTAAAGATTAAATTTATTATTAAATCAATTAAAATTATATAAAATTGATGAAAATGTTAGTATATGAATAATTTTAACTGAAAGTCCAAATATTAATACTTTAATATTGTAATTTGTAATGGAAATGGTAACCAGATGGGTGAATCTGAGTAGTTGATAGTGGATAAAGTTGAAGAGTGATTACGATATTAAGGCGGCTGCCTCCTAGGTGATTGCAATTTCTTTTATTGGCTTTTTTTTAATAATTATTAATTTTTGACTTATAAATCGATTAATTTAAATTAAATACTATAAAAACGAGAATAACCTCTAATCTAATTTATTATATTCATAAATGATAATATTCCAACCTCTAATCTTGAATTTAATATCTGATTTCAATTGACTAACTAATTATTGGTCTATTATTGGTATGAGGAAAGTGTCAGA